TGGATGTTGATGTGGTGCTGAGTCATTCCCGGGTCGATCCCTGGCATGTTTTTTGAGGACCATGTGAACACATCAGCATTCCTCCTCAGGAAGTCGATGAGTTAGAGCTGGTTTGCTTCGGGGAGTGTCGTCTCGACCTTCATGGTCATGTCAGGTCAGACCCTCTTTAAGGGTACCTCGACGAGTTGTTCAGGGGGCCCCAGGTGTGTCGGTGTCCTGGCTTCCTTACGAGGATCCGGGGCTTGACAGGGGTGCGACTTCTCTGGAAGAGTGGTCGTTGTAAGGTAGCACTGCCTTGATTCTCTCGGATCGCTTTGGGATTCCTTGATCCCTGTTGAAGTTGGAAATTTTATGGCCTAGTGGTAAGTGGAAACCATCGCTTTCAGTTTGTTGAGTGTCGGGCGGCCGAGGATGACATTATAAGCCGACGGCAGGTCGACTACCATGAAGGTAGTCATCGTCGTCTTAGCTCTTGGTTCTTCCCCGATGGTAACAGGGAGGGTGGTGGTCCCGAGTGGGGAGATGGAATCCCCGATGAATCCGGTAAGTGTCGACATCATGGGACTGAGGTCCTCATTAGTTAGGTCAAGCTTCTTGAAGGCGTCGAGGTACAACACGTCGGCAAAGCTCCCGGTGTCGACCATCACTCTCTTGATCTAGGCAATGGTGATCTAGATGGAGATCACCAACGCATCATCATGGTGGGAGTGTTCAACCTCCTCGGTTTCGAAAGTGATTTCGGGCTCAGACTCGAGTCTGGGGCATTTTTCCACCATACTACAGGTGTAGGTCTTCCTTGCCATCGAGCTACTACCATCAACCATTTGTCCACCGGTAATGACGTCGATTTGTTTCTCGACTGCACCCCTGGGGCGTGGAGATGCTTCTCTTGGTTCCTTGAGGTAGCGCCCGAGGTGACCTCTCAGAATCAATTCTTTAATCTGATTTTGAAGGTCATGGCAGTCTTTCGTATCATGGCCGTAGTCCCGATGGAACCTGCAATATTTAGATCGGTCCTTGTGAGTAGCCTTCAAGGGGTTGGGTTGTCGCAAGAGGCCTTTCTCCCTGATCTGGAGAAAGATCTCGGAACAAGACGTGTTCATAGGTAAAGGCGGGGGCCTCGGGAGTAGCTAATCGGGTTAGTTGGGCCTCATGCGAGGTTGCACTGGTGCTGCTGAAGTTGCTCCTCGGGTCTGCTCCATCCTTGGCCTCTTGCTATCCTTGCGCCTCCCCGCCATTAGGGCTTCGACGATGATGTACTAGTTGGCACGTTGGAGCATCTCGAGGATGGTCATGGGTGGCTTCTCAATCAGCGACCAGAAGAACCTCGAGGGGCTCAAGCCCATCAGAAACGCCTTCATGATCAAAGAAGGATGAGCGTTCGGGAATCCCTGGATTTCAGTGGCAAAGCACACCATGAATTGGGAGAGTGATTCGTTTTCGCATTAGGATAACGCGAGCAAGGTGGCCATAGAAGGCTTGGGTCACACATTGGCTAGGAAGTTTTGCTCAAACTCTCTCACGAGCTAGTCAAAGGATGAGATTAAGGATGGGTGCAGTCAGCTGAACCATGTTTATGTCGGTCCTTTGAAAGTAGTCGGGAACGCCCGACACATCAGGGCGTCGGAGGTGCCGTAAAGGGCCATCTGAGCTCGAAATGCAGCGACATGTTCCGTGGGGATAGATGTCGGTAGCCTAAAGTTGAGCAGCACAGGCTTGTCTTGTATTTCCTGAGCAAATGGGGATCCACCCGAGCTGCCTTTGCCCATCTCACCATGCGACTTCTGGAATTTGTGTTGGAACTCATCTAGGCGTCGATTGACTATGGACAGTTGGACCTTGAATGAGTCATTCGTCGAGTCCGATGATAAGGTATCGGGCTCGGGGTGGGGTGGAGCAACTTGACAGGGTGCAGGCGCGCTCTGTTCGGGGAGGCTTCTCAGGTTTGCTGTCTGCTCTCGGGCTTCTTCCATCCTGACTTGTTCCCTGCTCGGCCTTTGTTGTGTCGGGTCGGTTGGGGGAGCTGCTAGGTGCATGATATGTGGAATGAGCTGGACGATCATTTGCATCATTCCCCCAAGGTTTGTACTTGCTTAGCCAAGCCGAGGAACGCCTCGGGTGAAACCGTTGAGTGTCCTACAGTATATCCAGGGGAGAGAGCCCTGGATCATTGAATAGATGACATCCAGCGTCGGGGCCAGGATGACCCCATCCCTGAGGACGGGGAGGGGCTGATCACCGAGTCCAAGAGGGGGGTGATCAGCTGGTAGTTCTCCCTCGGGGTGACCTCCTGCGGGGTGTTCCTACGACATTGGTCCTCCTTCTAGCACCATAAATATTGATGAACTGATGCATCGTGGCTGGTGAGTCAGCTCGGCTTGGTCCTCGGGTCGATGTCAAGAGGCTACGATCGGTTGAACGGAGTGCCGAGGTTGATCACACCCGTAGGTCGTAGACTCCTGACATCAATATAATTTCAGAAACGTAGTATATAAGCCCCTCCCATCAAGTTTGAGTTAACAGTTGTTAGAGTTTCCTTATGTGACATGTTGACTCATAATAAATAATTAATATAATAAAACATGTAGTTTAAGTTTAAAAGATGATTAAGGTTCATCTTGTCGAGGAAGAGGAAGCGAGGGAGGTCATAGTGACGAACGAAGGCGGAGAGGTAGAGGTAGGAGAGATCGAAGGCGAAGGTGAGGGAAAATTAGACTATCATGTCATAGGCACGATGGTGAGGACATACGCAAGGATGAAGTATGAGGCAGTGGAGATGAAGACACTTATGAGGAGATAGAGGGGCCAAGAGACCTCTACGTGCCTAGCATCGGACTAATCAACGCATATCCATTTGAGGCAAGACTGAAAGCTCCTAAGCTTGTCGTCAACGTGGGAGAGGCTGTATGTGTATGACGCCCTGTTAGGCAGCAGCCACTTGGTGCTGCTACTAGTGGTCGCTTCCATAATAATGCCTCCTCCGGCCATTGATGGTAGTCTCAATTTTTTAAAAAATTTAAATTACATATGTAATTATATTAATGATTTATTATGAGTTAGCATATAAACAAGACTCTAACATCTATTTAACTCAGACTGAGATGAGCTTATATGTTATGTTTTTAAAAATATATGGGTTATTTTAAATATGAATAAATAATAAGGGTTTAAGTGGTCCATGACTAAAATCACGGGAGCTAAAATGGACTTTTTTAAACTTAAATTATATATGTCATTATATTAATATTTTATTATGAGGCAACATGCCATGTAAACAAACATTAATATGTGTTAACTCAGATTTGACAAGAGAGATTTATATACTATATTTTTTAAAATATACGAGTTATTTTAGACATGAGTAAACCATAAAGGCTTTAAGTGATCTATAATCGAAATCACGTGGGTTAAAATGGATCTTAACTATTTTTTAAACTTAAATTATATATATTATTATATTAATGATTTATTGTGAATCGATTTGTCACGTACGCATACTCTAACATTTGTTAACTCAGATTTGATGAAAGAAATTTATATACTATTTTTTTTTAAATATATGGATTATTTTAGATACAAATAAATTATAAGGACTTTAAGTAGTTCATTAAAACCATGAATCTTAACTATAAAAAATAAAAGATATATAATCGATCATAAGCGATGAAAAAGAGATTATGGAGAAAATAATAATAATAATAATAATAATAATAATAATAATAATAATAATAATAATAATAATAATAATAATAATAATAATAATAATAATAATAATAATAATAATAATAATAATAATAATAATAATAAT